CATCCTTCTAGTGTCAAACTCAGACACTAGAAGTGCAGACATCATTCAAACATCACACTGCAGGGACAAGAAGAGTAGAGTGTGACTTTAAAGGTTCCACTAGGATTTACTGGCATCTATGAAACTATGAAACATGAAAACATGCTTTGTGAAATTTTCGGGGGTAAATTTAGGCAATTATTGATGTATGATTCATGCCTGAGGGTGTTTCATCACTAATTCACTTAAAGATTCTTGCCATCACCATCGAAGTGTGGTTGCGTAACCTAACCTTCACTCACTTAAGCTCAAAGATCAGAAAAAAAAAAACGTTTTAAGTCCCACTCATGCAGTCCATGAGACAAATTTTCATTATTCTCTAAAAATAAGTGAGCTCCCCTGAAAGCCATAGTTTGCACACTGCCTGCAATACCTGTAGTTATAAAAGGCTCATTCTAAGGTAACAAAAACGCAATGATTCCTTTACTTTTTTAGTGGTGTAGTGTAATGTTGTAGTATTTATACACTTATGTCAAGTGTCAAAATGTCAAAAAAATGTTAAACTAAATTATATTCCATTTCTGATACATCCTCCTAAATGTTGTGGACCTTTTAGTAGCTATCCACTAGTTCTGGCAGCAGCAAAAGTACTCACAGTCTAGGTTACTATAATGAGCACATCAGTGTGGGGTTAGTATGCTAGCAGTAATCGCAGTGTCAGTATTATGACACAGTAAGTAGTATTGTGGTGTTATGGCTCCAGCGTCATGCCCCGCCCCCTCTGTTGTGTCCCCGAGTCTCGTCAGGTTGGAGGAGGAGGAGGAGGACGGGTTTCACTAGCACCTCACGTCCCATACTGGATTTACCGGACTCCACCTGTCGCGAGCGCTGTGGGGCTTTTTTTTTTTGTGTCCGTGTCGAATGATAACATTGCGCTGTCACACAGGACGGCACGAGACACAAACAAAAGCGCGAGACCTGTTTTTTTAAACGAGTGTCGCAGGAAAACAGGACATTACCGGACAGCTGAAAGGACCGCTGCGGCTCTAAACGCCTGCCGCTTTATGTTTGGATTTTCACCGCTTTTTACCCGCGGACAGAGGAAAAAACAACAAGCATAATTCCAGTGGATGGTTTTATCCGCAGTGCCTCAGCCGACCAGCCAACCGGGGAGCAGAATGTCAAGACAGCAGCAGCACAGGACGCCGTTAAAACTCACCGACAGCGTAGTGGAGGTCAAGAGCAAAGTGAGTGGTAACGGGGGGTGTTGGTGACTGGTAATGTTAGTGAGGGAGAGGAGAGAAACAGTCATACGGGGTCTGGTGGATGCTAGCGCCGGGTGCACTGACAACACAGACACGACCTTCCGCTGTGGATACGTGATGTATCTCCCTCCCGCTGTCCGAGAAACGCACCGACTGAACGTTTTCACCGTTCAACACACGGAGAATATTGTGTATACACATACATGTGTGAAGCTAGTGAGGTGCAGCTGACAGGCGGCCTGTAGGTTCCGCATTCACTCCGTCGTTACCTCCGTCTCTGTCAAAGCACCGATTCTGGATCTGCTGATGAGCCTCTCTCTGCTCTGGGTCTCATTCAATTACTGGTCCCACACTGTGTTCCTGTAATACCGTAGTCGACTATTACCGTTAGTATCAGTTTTGTATGTGAGTATCGGTGTTGACATATTAGCACAAGGCTACAGTGGAAGGTTAGGCTATATTTACTTTGTAACTACATATACGCAGTTACAGGGTTGGAGTAATAGTACCTTGATAAAGAGGGGGAGAACGGGGTTGGTTATGACATTCATTACATATTGCTTGCTGGTAGTGGCGGATCTAGCCAGGCTAAGAAATGTTTGGCCACCCCAGCTGCCACACCAGTTTGGTGTCAAATGCTGTCAAATGTAATCATTTAGATAAAAGTTTTAAAATAATTTGTCAGAAACTGAAATTAATTTAATCATCTCTTATGGCCACATTTTGGACCAATGGAAACTGTCTGATTTGGAAATAAAACAATCTATTAATTTCTTATGCCACCTTTAAACATTTCTATTCAATGCTTTTTTTAATGTGCCCCAATAGTGGGGGCTTTTCCAAGCAAATATTGATATATGTGATGAGGCATGGGATGATGACAATTTCATGTCACAATTATCTTGACCAGAATATCCACAACATTATCGCAATGATCATCAAAAATGTATTTTAATCCCTTAACATTTAGCTAAGAAATATTTTTTTATTACATCACGGATAGGAACCTCCTCTGCCTGTTATTCTTTGAAATCCATAGTATTTTCACACATCCAGTTACCAGACCAGAACCCGAACCGACGCCCACTGCCGCGTTTCATTACACATTTATTCCGTTGTTACCTCCCTCTGTTCCTGCAATACTGTACTGTAGTATTACTGTTAGTTTTACTAGTCTGTCAGTATTGTAGCCTATATCGGTGTTAACCATTGACAGAATATATAATGGACAAAGCTTCTGGGTCTGAAAAGGGAAGCCAATGCAGAAGTGTCTTAAACCTGTATTGTATGTAAAGGCCAGCAGGGGGTGCTCCATTGGCTGCAATAAAAAAACGATATCATGCAGTCTAATGGAAAAATGAGCTGAATTCTTACTTGATTTATTAGCTCAGTGACCAGTTTCCTGATGAGTTTGTGGTCTCAATCACTAGTTTCAGTCTTCTTCCATACAGCGTGATGTTCATTTAGTAGATTATGGTCCAATTTAGAGAGACTTTAAAGCTGTAATGATGAGGAACTTTAACGACGTAATGCGCAATGCACAAAACTCAAATCAAACTGTCAAACTAGGCAGTGCTGATCAAATATGAATCAAGATTCAGCGGTTACCTCAGTGACCGACTTGACATTGAGGTGAGAGGACATTTTCATGTCAAAATGTAAATATTTAACTCTTCTGTGTTTCTTTTTAGGCAAGGCAGTAATAATAGTCGGGGGGAACAAAAACGCACCACCATTCGAAGTAATCATAGGCCAATGTTATCCTAACTAAACTAAACCTAAAGGACTAGGGGTGTCACGATTTCGATTTTAAAGGGGAACTTGGCAACTTTTTCAGTTTAATAAACC